GTTATTCATGGATCCGCTGATACACGTTCACATACCACTGAAGCTCTTACTGATAATCTCAACGACAAAAGAGAAACGATAACTAAGAAAGAAAACGAGGTCGAGCATTTCAATTCTCATTCACGTATTTACTAAAGCATTCCAACACTGAATGAACAAAATAAATATTCCAAAGAGACAAATAATGGCCGGCTGTTTCTATTTCTTATAAATTACAGAGTATTCTTACAAGTAAATAATTCATTTAAATATTGCATATATAGATGTTTTAGGACAATTAATACAAGATAAGATAATCTTCTACGAAGGAGAGATGTTATTTTAATATTTATAATTTATAAATATTATAATATAATATTTATATTATAATATATATAATATTTATATTATAATATAAATATTATATTATAATATAATATTTATAAATATTTATAATATAATTATAATATATTTATAATATAATATATATATATTTATAATATAATATAATATATATTTAAAATATTTATAATATTTAATATTTATAATAATCCATGAATTGCAAATAACGAAAAAATTGCTTGCGACTATCGACTAAAAGATTTCTACATTTCATATGAAATATGAAATATAAGAATATAATTTCTATATTATCGAAGGAAATTTTATACGTTCAGTGTCGGTGATTAGCAGAAAGATCGAGAAAATCAATCGAGCAAAAAAGTGCAATAAGAAGCTTAGTATCAGCGTTAAATTCGACGACGAATTTCACCGATCGATCGGAGATTCCAACGCCTGTGTAAGGAACGCGTTCGCTACGTTTAACACGGAGGAGCAAAGATTCGATTTCGGGACGTGACATGCAGCAATGAAATGAATAGGACAAAATCAAACGTGGACACATCGTGGTGCTGTGCGTTGTGAACGCGGTACGATTAACAGTGATGCAAATGAGTCGTAATTACCATTATCAAAGTAAAATTTGTGGAAATCCATTCCCTCGACTAAATTACCTAGAGCCTCCGGCTCGAACGTAGTCAGATGTGGATCACAGATTTTCCTGCAAGCGTAAGGGACATTAGAGGCCCGAATATATTTCAAGCTTGATTCTCACTGAAATATGCAGTGAAGATAAAATTAACGATCAATTATTGACAATTGTTAACAAGATCGTTGTCAATTATCATTTTACAAGTTAATAACGCCGATTAATAACTCATGAGCTATGATATATCAGTTTGCTTCTAAAGTTGTTGTTAACCAATTAATCGCATTTACAATTAATTTGAATTTTTAAGATTTTTCTCGTACAGTTCTTTCTCTAAAAAGTAAGAATAAGAAAAAGAAGCTTAAATAATTTTTCTTCCAAATTCTGCATCGGAGAAGAATCTTTTCGTTGTCACTCTGTTTCCGTGATAAATCTTCTCCCTCAAGATTTTGACAATCTTCGACAAATCTGCTCGTCACACGATTCATCACAAGAATAAACTTTCCGGACGATTATCTTTTTCTCCTCACCGAAATGTATCCATCATCGTGTCACTTACGTGTACGCCTCGAAATCCCCGGTGTTGATGCTCTCGATCAGCTGCTCGGTCATCTTGATGATCTCCTGACGGCGTGCTGGAATCGTCAACAGATTATCGATCTGCGGAAACGGCGCGATCGGCGCGCCTGATCGGTCTCAATCGGAGAAAAAAAAAAAAAAAAAAAGAAAAAAAATTGAAAAACAAAACGATCAGGACGTGATCATACCGACACATCGTACGGCACAACAGTCACATGCACGAATCTTTATCAACTTCTACGTCCTACGCCAAAGGCTTTCGAACTTATCGATTAAAATACATAATATATATATTTATTTATGGTATACAACGATGTGTCACCCATTGGAGTCGTCTCAAAAATCAAAAAAAGTTACACATTACCTTCGCGTATCTACATCCGACAATCTCTCTTCAACTAATTAAAAACATATCTCGATACATCAGACTCCAATGATCACGATTCTCAAATGGTTTGATCAAGATGAATCCTCTTTGAAATTTAACTTCCACTGTTATAATAGAAATAATTAGTAATCGGCAGACTGCAGATTTTAAGAAACGGAATCCAAATAAAAATTTATTTCGTCTATCCTACGTAAATACTCTGTTTCAAATATTTTATGTATTTTTTGCACGCATTTTTGTGTCTTACAATTTCTGCCAAGAGGCAAGCAAAAAATCCACGATCCAACGATAAAGAGATTTCAATAGACGAAAGATCGCCATTTGAGAATCGAGTTTTCATTCTTCGCGTCAAACTCCCTTTCTTTTTTCCATTTGATAATATGCACCGATTTTCAAAAAAAAAAAAAAAAAAAAAAAAGAGGATGATCCCTCCAGGACGAGACGAGAGGACGAATTTTAGAAAGAAAAAAGAAAAAAAAAAAAAAGAAAGGAGGGAGAAAAAAACGACGCAAAACCGGTGAAATCTAGTCAAATGGCAAGCAATCTCGTCGTTGCACGCGTCGTTTGAATCAACTCGTTCCCTCTCAGATTCGATCGTCGTTGGGGTTGTTCGACGCTGCAACGACGAGGATTTCGAGGACCCGCGGAAAAATTGGTCGCTTTCTCGCGACGAGGAAAAAGTAAAGAAAAATAAAAAAAAGCACGTCGACCATTCGACGAGCTCGTCAATATAAAGAGAGAGAGAGAGAGAGAGAGAGAGAGAAAGAGAGAAAAAAAAAAGAATCGATACTGTCGTTCTTCTCTCGTTGCTCACAACTGCTAGAATCTTCCTGGGTCCTTGAAGAGTAACTCCTTCAACATTGTTCCTTTTCCTTTTCTCTTTTCTTTTTTTTTTTTTTTTTACCTTTTACTTATAATTAATTCCTTGAATATAATTACCTTGCAATCGGTAATTATCCTTGTTCCCCTTTCACCCCAAGGGTCAGAGTGTTAAATATCTTAAATTGGACGGACGGCGGCGCGAAGAACTTTCCCGCGCGAGTTTTCAAATTTTTCTCTTACTTCAACCTCGGATTCCTGGGGACTGTCGAGCTTCGCTTTTCTCAGTTTTAATCCCTAGCAGCGAGCGGTTCCCGCGCGAATCTGGAAGTCCTGTTCGATTCTCAGCTAGCCTACCCGTCGCGCGAGAATTTCCGAGAAAAATTCGAATTTCCGGACGTCTCGCGCGCGAATTCCTTTTCAAATTTTCACGCGCAGTTTCCTAGTTCCTAGCGAGCAAGAACAGTTCCCCGCGGGACGTTTCGGGCAGCGTTGGAAAAAATTCATAAATAAATGCACCAACGTGTGTTAGTCGTTCTACTCTCGTTGATCGTTGATCGTACAGTACAGTGATAAAAGCTGAAATGGAACTTTTTAACTCGGCGACCACCACCGTCAGCGTAATCACAGTGCCGTAACTACCCTACTGCGCACCACAGCAAGCAGAGACAACGATATGTATGATATACGTTGCGTAAAAAAAGTTCGTGAAGTATGAAAGAAGAAGAAAAAAAAAAGGAAAAAAAAAGGTATAGTACAATATTCTATGCGCCCGCGAGAAGAGAAGCGTTATTTTGTACATCATATTCTCTCATCATAGTGTAGAATTAATATGATTTATCTGCTCGATAGAAAGAGAGAGAGAGAGAGAGAGAGAGA